TCCCCCCGCCCCAGCAACAGATGAATAACCTGACATTAACCATGAAAAAACAAATCCAAACAACTGGCCTGTGATCTTCAAAAGTATCAAGGTCAGGGAAGTCAAGGAAATACTGAAGAGGTGGGGACAGGACAACTACGTGCAGTGTGGATTCCAAACACGGTGCTTTTGCAACAGAGAACATTACTGGACAACTGGGAAATCTGAATGGGGCAAGAGTGGTACTGTATCAATTTCATTGTTTTGATAGTTGTATGGTAGGTACACAGGAGAATGCACTGTTTATAGGAATTATATACAAAAGTATCCCAAGGAAATGAAGAACCAAGTCAGCAACTTCTCAAACGGTTTGGGGTGTGGGGGGAGGCTCTTTTTCATATTTCTAACTTTTCTATAAATTCAAAACTATGCCAAAAGTGTTTCAAGTATCAATAAAAAAGAATTAGAATAAGGTACTCTCCTATGTAGCCGCAGCTGTGTGATTTCAAATTTTAATCAAGCAAAATGTGACAGAAAGAAACTCACTGCCCTCCATCCAGTCTGATGAAAGGATGAAAAACATGAAAGGGTTCGCCAATAACAGCAGCAGCAAACAGACGCAGGAAGAGAGCTGTACGGAGCCTAAAGAACCACCCAAGCCCGTCTCCCTGCTCACAGCCAGTAAGTGTTCAATTAACCAGAACAGGCACCTGCTCCCTATTCCAAGACTGTCACAGTCTTCTCCGCAGACCAAACAGCCCGAGTCTTCTTTCCTGTGGCCCAGCAATTTTCCCAGCCATAAGCCCATTTCCAGGTTAAAACCTCTGAAGGTAAAACTGTCGGTTCCTCAAGCCAGCAAATTTTAACTGGAGACAATCCTCAATTATCCGCGTACAGTTGATTCTTGAACAACATGGATTAGAAACACATGGGTCCACTTATAAGCGATTTTTTTTTAATAAATACAGGACAGTACTGTAAATGTCTTTTCCTTATGATTTTCTTAATAACATTTTTTCTCTAGCTCACTCGTTAGAATACAGTATATAACACACATAACACACAAAACACACGTTAATCATGTGTTTATGTTATGAGTAAGACAGCAGGCTGTTAGTAGTTAAGTTTTGGGGGAGTCAAAAATTATTCATGGATTTCCAACTGCACAGGGCCAGCACCCCTAACCCCCCAGTGTTCAAGAATCAATTGTATATTTGTTTATGCGTGCTTCCAAGGGCAGGGTTAATATGGAGAAAAAGCATTGTAATACATTAGGTGAATTTTTTTCCACATTTATGCCCAAAAGTGTGAATTAAATTTGAAAACTTTATGACTTCAGAATCAGAAACAGAACAAATGAATTTTAAAATACATACGAAATCCTGTTGACTATGGCGTCTTCATCTTCTTGTTCATCTGTAAAAATGTGTAAGGTGTTAAGTTTTTATCTTCAATAAAACGTTTCATTTATCAGAAACTATAAACAAAAATAGAAACTTAAAGTGATTATTGAACAGAAATGATTTTTAAAAAGCAACTGTTCATTTCAGCATGGATCCAAATTCAAAGCTCATTAAATCACACAGGATAGAATTCAGCTAGAGAAGAGTGTTTTGATTAACCAGAATCCTGATTAACAAAAATACTCTATATAAATTAAAATTTTCCAAATATTTAGTGCTCAAGAAAATAAAACTTAGTAGAACATTAGGACCACTATCAAGTTCATTGTCATATAACGTAAGTGAAATTGTAGTTGCTAATGAACGAAATGTTTTAGTTGATAATACCCAACAAAAATTTTTATTATAAAATTAGAATTCAGAGTTTGAGAACATGTACTTTTCTATATTTTGAGTTTGTCATCATTAGTGATAATAACGAAGATTCTCTTGGACCATTCTAAACCACTTAGATACCACTGCCTCAATGCTTCATAACTATTGTTCAAGTTACAGACAGCAAAGTATCAAGTTCTGTATCTTTTCCAAGTAGCAGATGCCCCCTGCCCCAGGGCTCACCCACCTCCCTCTCCCTCTCTCTCATGGCCGTCAACCCTCTTTGTCATCCCACATAAACTTACCAGCTAAAGACAGTATGATCCAATTACAAGAATATTACATAACACCCCTGCCCCTCCTCCTCCTCGATACCTAACTGGGGTTGTCCTCAAAGGCTCTCTACCTAAGTCTCTGGAATCATGAGTGTCCAGCTGCTCCAGTGTCAATGGCACATTTGAGCCATTCTCTTAGTCCAATCTCCATTCTTAATTACACGCTGCCCAAAATAACTTCACAACCAAAAGGACCATAAAACAATATAGTCACAATTTTTATACTGTTGTGTCCACACTCAATCAACCATCAACTACTGAAGAATGTTTTAACAGCTTCATAACCATTTCGTTTCTTCTCCCCACAATCAACTGTGGCCAGGGTACCCATCACCCCTCCCTGCCATTACTCTAAAAATCATCTAATAAATCTCCAACTTTTCTGTTCATCATCCCCTAATTTCCCCTAAACAGTGCACTTATATTCATTTACTCTCTCTCCCCCTCCTTCTGTGTCCACAATCATTAAAACCTGATCCCAAAATATCTGAAAAATAGTTAAGATATTGGGGTGTCTGGGTGGCTCAGTCAGTTAAGCATCTCACTTCAGCTCAGGTCGTGATCTCATGGTTCATGGGTTCGAGCCCCATGTCGGGCTCTGTGCTGACAGCTCAGAGCCTGGAGCCTTTTTCAGATTCTGTATCTCCCTCTGTCTCTCTGGCCCTCCCCTGCTCATGCTGTTCTCTCTGCTCATACTGTCTCTCAAAACTAAATAAACGTTAAAAAAAAATTTTAATAGTTAAGATACAGTGTTGAATCTTCAGGTCTTCAAATTTTTGAAAAATTACAGACTCCAAGAAGTATTTTAGTGTAATCATAGAGTCAAACTAAAACACTAGAGCAAGCACTATTTCCCAATTGCTTTCAAAACTCTAATTAGTTTAATATTATGACAGAAAGAGTATTTAATATACGGAATCCTTAAGTATGTATATGGCACTACAATCAGCCCAGCATCACAGGTGGAAAATCCTGTGATCTACAGGAAGCAGCTGAGATTTACTAGAAGGCATCTAGGCAACTGCTTTGGTCCTTACAAAACCCCGGCACAGAACCTGTGAAATTAACTAGAGAAGGTAAAGATAGTCCAGCAGTCAGAGAAAGGATGGGATGGGGATATGCATGTTCAAAGTCAGAGCCAGTCACAAGGACCCATATATCCTCACAAACTCTAGAATTTCCCAGATGCTGAAGAGCCACACACTAATCTTAGTCGGACGTTAAGAACAGTGGTAAACAAGGGCTCGGGTCTAAGAGGGTGACCACCCCGCAAGTGGGCAGATTCCCTGGCCGCACCGTCAGTGCCCTCGGGACCAGGCAACTGGGTGGCACGATCGCGGCCGTACTAAATACAGACACCACCATGCGGGCGGGCACTGCACAGGCCAAATACCATACATCAGTTGGCATGAAAATCTAAGTTTTAATTACAATGTTTCCACTTACCTGATTTTCTCTTGTATCTCGTAATGATGAAGTAGGAAACAACGTAGAGAATGGCAAAAAGAAGGAAACATATCTGAAAAAAAATTAACAGATCATTTACATTTGTCGCACATCTTTGTTAAGATTATAAAAGATGCATCTTTGGTATTTATAGGCAAAAAGATTCAATCTATTAAAAAAGTAAAATTTTTAGATATTTTGCTAATATAAAGTTTTGATAAAATACTAATTTATATGAACTAAGTCAAATAGCCCAGTTTTTAATATCATTGCAGAGAAGAAAAAGCCCAATGAAGATTTTTCTTTTTATAACTTAACCAAATTGTTTTCAAAATCCTATGGAAGTGTAAAGTGTCAGATCGTCACCAATAATCCTGAACACTAAAGTCAATGAGACACTACTGTCCCTTCCAAATATCAAAACATACTACAAAGCTTCAATAACATTTAAAGAGTGTGCTGGTGCCACAATTTGACAGATCAACGAAACAGATTCTATTATATAAAAATATATATAATTTTGTTCTACATACAAGAGGCATCACAAATCAATGTGTGTGGGGGGGAATAATCATTCAATAAATATACCACATATCAAAATAAACAGCAGTTGAATAAGAAACTTTTTTAATATTAAATTCAAATTAAATTCCATTTAATTTTATGGGGATGATAGATAAAAGAAGATGGGTCATGAAACAGGAGATCTCATTATAGTCAAAGACCAAGTGTGCTAGAAATAAAGTCCTACTAGAGCTAAGATCCTAGGATCAAGGTACCAATAGTTTGAAGACTCTCAAACGAAACAATTCCAGGTGCTGATAGTCTAGGGAGCACCCCTCCGCATGGATTTCTGAACAGTGGATGTTGGCCACAGGACGGAAAATGACCTTAGATCTAGGTGTGAACATCCACCGTACCATGTCATCTAGGAAATGACAAACTGAGAATGGAGAAAGACCGTGAGCCTCATGTCACAACCGGGACAAGTGGGAGAATGACAGGAGACATACTGACAGTGACCAAAAAGGAGCCAAGAGTAAAAAGCATCAAACTGGCCTGCTGCTGGGAACCCACCGAGAACTCCAGATGGTTACGAGAATGTCAACACCATCACCACATCCTCCCAAAATCCTTCGGAGTGTAGGAAATGGGTCAAAAAGGAAACCGGTTATTGGTAAAGGAATAGAACATCTCCGTCAAGAAGACGTTAAGGGTCAGGGAAGACTGTTTACAATGGAATGAGTCTGGGTAGCGCTGGAAGGAAAAGAAGGGGGACTGGGCAGAAACTGATTTACGAGGTTAGAGCCAGAGGGATCAAACGGACAGGGCATTAATATTTATGACAGACACTAACTGAAATTCATTTGACAACTACTTGCTGTGAGCTTACGGTACACCAGGTACACTTTTGGGAGCTAAGAGCAGGAAGATGAGATCTCATCTCTTACTTCTTCCCTCCAGCGTTTTGAACACACAGAGCTCTTCCTGGCTCAGACCCTCGGCCTTGAATACCCTCCCTCCACACAGCTGCGTGCCTTGCTTCGTCTTCTCCCACAGTCTTTCCTCAGGTGTCACGTGTGAGGTGTGCCCCCTCGCCCCTGCCGGCGCTCCCCATGCCCCTAACCCAGCACAAGGTCATCGTCCGTTCCACTGACCGCTTACTGACTGGTTAGCTGCTTTCTTACTGGAATGTAAGCTCAACGAAGGTGGAACTTGGTTTTATTCACTGCTGTGTTCTTGTTCCAAAAAGCGCACCTGTTGTGCAGAAGTTTGTAACAAGTGCCAGTCCTCACAAACAGTAAAGTGTTGGTTTTTACCCTGAGTGAGATGGGAATCCGTGGTGGGACTCGGAGCAGACGGAGACAGAATCCATGACAGAGGGAAAAGGCTCACTCTAGGTACAGTGGGGAAAATAACTGAAGCAGCCAGAGCAGTCAGGAGCGTCCACCAATCATCCAGAGCAGAGGTCACTTGGAGCTGTGTGTGGACTTATCAAAAATGATCAAGTTCGGGGTAGGTTTTGAAAACCACCTTGAGAGGGCGTGGCCTAAGAAACCGGAAAGAGACAGTGGCCATTTCCTGCGTCGGGAAAGATTATGATGAAGTCATTTTGGGTTGGAAGTTAAAAAGTACAGTTTACACTGATGCAGGTGAAATACTTATTATCCACTCAGGTGGAGAGGCTGGATGGGCTGTTGGATACGAAATCTGTACAATCCAGGGAAAGGAGCCCGGCTAGGATTTTTTAAGGTGGGGGGTGGGGGGTGCCAGGGGGGACACAAGCAGATAGACATTTAAAGCCCTGAGACCAGATGGGATTTCCATCCTAGGGAGTGAGTGCAGCCAGAGAATTCCAAGAACCAAGCCCCAGAAGTCTCCAATACTTAGAAGCCAACCTGACAGGAGGAGTCAGCAGGGAGGAGGCATACAAGAGGCTGTGACGTCCTGAAAGCCACATGAAGAAAGTTCGTGTAGGAAAAGGGATCATCAGCCGTGTCAAATGCTGCTGACAGACCAAGTAAGATGAGCACTGAGAACTGACACCTGGACTTAGCAACACGGAGGTCGTCAGTGACCTTGACGAGAGAGGTTTTTCTGGAGTGCTGAACGTAAAACTCCGACTGAAGCAGATTAAGAGAGAGGAAGAATTAGAAACAAAATGTAGCCAGTTCTTTCCAGGAACTTATGGGAAAGGGAAGAAAAAGAAATGGGATGAGGCCTGCGAAGAGGGGTTTTTTTAAGAGGAGAAAAGCTACACACAGTTGTAATCATATTCCAGCAGAGAGAAAAATTATTGAAGCAAGGGAGAAAAAGGCGAACTGCTAAGCCAACACGCCCAGGTTGGGGAGCCAGAAAGAAAGCCCCTGCTCACGAGGAGGAGGAGGAGCGAGAGCAGGGAACACATGAGTCCCATGGCGGGCAGGTGTGCAGATGTGGGGCAGCAGCATAACGACAGAGTCCCTTCCGAGGGTTCTATGTTCTCAGTGAAACAGAAGCACGTTCTTCTAGGAAGAGTTACACGTGGGGAGTGGAGACAGCAGGCACACGGGGAATGAGGCGGGAAGTGGCGTAGAGAACACAAGGAAGTGGGAGGCAGGCAAGGTGAAGCGGCCTTCAAGCAC